TACTCAAGGTCATATATTGGCTCTCATGAACTTATTTTAATTATCTTTAAGTTCAACTTGAATTTACATATAAGCTGTTGATGATCTGTTCCAGTCAGTCCCTGGCCTTGGTTTGGCCTCTCCATTGTCTCTTCCCACAGCTGTAGTCCATTTGGTTCCTGTGTATTCCATATGGTGAGGTCCACATGCACAGTTCATGCTTAGGTTGTTGAAAAAGGTTATTTGCAATGAAGAAGCTGTGGGTCTCGGAAAACCAATTAGGCAATCTTCAGCTTTGCTTCTATCACCAAGACCAAAGTTCCCAACTATTGATCATTCCTCTTTGTTTCAAACTTTCACATTCCTATCACCAATAATTATCAATGTATCTTGTTTGAATGTTTGATCAATTTCAGATAGAAGAAATTGGTAGAATTCTACAATTTCTTGATGACTAACATTAGTGGTTGGTGTGTAAATTTAAATGGTAGTTATATTAACTGGAATTCCTTGGGCTATAGAGGAGATCAATTGAAATAGGGCAGCAAACATTTTTATGAACTGTACAATTTTTATTTAATATTATTTATTATTGGATATGGCTTATCATCTAAAAGACTTGCCATTTCATTTTAATAGGCATTTGCATTATTTAAGCTAAGTGTTTAGGTCAATGTTTGTCATAGTGTGGCTCCTAAACCAATGACGTCATCATCCCTGAAGGCTCATTCCAGATGTGAAATCTTGCATCCTACCCCAGACCAACTAACTTAGAAACTTGAGGGTAAAAGGAACTAAATGCATACCTGTCATGCTAATTCCCCAAGCATAGTGACCCTATAGGACAGAGAAGAACTGATCCGTGGATTTGGGCAACGCTGTAAACCTGTATGAAAACGGATTGTCACATCTCTCTCCTCTGGTGTAGCTGGTGGGTTCGAACTACTCTCCTTCAGGCTCATAGCCACGTGCCTGACAATTCACTGCCAAGACACAAAATGGGAGTAGAGCCCAAATCTGTGTCTGAACAAACCCGACATGTAATTCTGATTCACATTCGAAGTTAAAAGAGAATGTGAATAACTGAAATGAAAGAATAAACATGGTTGCTATTTGGACCTTCCAAAGTCACAGTGCAAAAGTACACAGGCATACAGGATTATTTAAGGTTAAAAAACCAAAAATCCCCTAAGCCTCTATATTTTAAAATAATACAATTTTCACTATCAAACCATATTTCTATCAATTAACACATTATAACAACCATGAACCCAATGATAGTAGGTACATTTGGGTAACGGAGTATATAATGCTTTGGGGTAAGGGATGAAGAAGCAAAACTCTAGTAGGGTTAACAATTGAAGAACGAAGTTTCAAGTCATGAGGGTTGGGATGCTTTCTGAGGAAAAATCATAACTGTATCTCAAAAACCACATTTATCCTGAAGACCACACCCCATGGCATCTCAGGGTTCCTAATCAAGCTAAGGAAGTGTTTCATCACTGACTCAGAGAAGAGACCATTACTTGTACTAAATCAGCAGCCAGGCTTCCTGCAGCACTAAATGTATCGCTTCTGGACTGCCAAGCAACAGGAAAACAGGCTAAAAACGTATCTTTAAAGATCTCTTCAGAGAAAGCTATTGTCATTGCTTCCAAGTGGAAGCAAAGTCCAAAGGTCCTGTCCATAATAAAACATTTATGGGATGATAACAAGCTCAGTCTGAAACTGCATTTGCAAGTCTTGTGTGATTTTCTTGGGTTCTCTTTCAAAAAGTAAAATAAACAAAAACTGATAGCCTAAAGATTCCTAACAAATAGACTGACTTAAATAAATGACATTAGATTTCACTCTTAATTTCTAGTAAGAACTAGGTAGAAACAGATAAACAAAACAAAAAAGAAAGAGACTTGTTTCTGGAATGATTTCTTAACTGTAGATGAAGTTGTACCACTTCCTAAAGTTTGCTCCTATAAATTTTCAGCTTTGGAAATTCGACAAGGAAGTTCTACTCTGTCCTGTAGGGTCACTATGAACAGATTCCACTCAATAGCAATGGTTTTGTTGTTGTTGTTATCTATCTTTGATCCATATCCTGAGCCCTAATAAACTTATCCCCTATCATAAACATTTTGCATTTAAAGAACTTGGAGGATGGGGTGGATAAAAATGGAAGGGTGTGAGGGAAGAGTCAATTGCCAATAAAAGCTATCTGCACTCTACTGTCTAGGAAATATTAGCACAAATGCTCATATACAGTTGCCAGATTGAATTCCTTTTGCACATTCACTCATCAGTATGCCCTTATTGAGTACCTAATAGGTTCCAGGCACTGCTATTGAATAGAAGGCGTTTAAACTGATGCACAGACTTCACTGATGAGATTTTGTGTGTTTAAAGAGACGCGTTTCAGTTTGTCAGCCAAGACCAGTGGCTCTTAAACTGGCACCAGTATCCCCTGGAGAGTATGATAAAGCACAGATCGTTGGGGCTGCCCTAGAGTTTCCATTCAGTAGAAACGAAGGTTGGGCCTACCTTGGCCTTTTGAATCAGTTCCCTGGTGGTGTTCATATTACTGTTCCAGAGGGCACACATGCAAACCACTGACCATGACAGATCATAGCTTTACACACTGCGCCTGGCAACTTGCACATCCATTTTCCAAAGAAGGCAATGGGCTCCATGAAGCCTCTCCTCACTTACACCTGAGCACAATTCAGACCCACCTCCAATACGCAGGATTAATAGCTCCACAGCAAAGAAAAGGGGAGATTTCAAAAGAAGGAAACGTCCTTCTGGGCATTTTCTCCCTCTCTTTTTCTTGCGGTTTGCTTTTATTTTCTTATTTTGTCTTTTGCTCACAAGAAATCATTTCTATTCTCAATACAAGAGTTGATGGAGGGAGGAAAAAAAAAAGCTCATCTAGCTGTTCCAGAGTTGTTAACTTTAATAAAATCATAATTTTTCTTCTGGCTTTCAGTCCCCATAGTTGATTTTGCCCTTTTTTTGCTGTTGTTGAACTATCTCCTTTCTGAACAATAGAATCATAGAGTTAGAAGGAACACTGAGAATTCACTTAATCCCTGTTGGCTTCAAAAAAGACTGTCTCTAAATCATCCCCAAATATAGCAATTTTTAGTCCAAAGAAGAACAGGCACGGAGAATATCCCATTCAACATTCCATCACATACTTGAAGAACACAAATACGCTTTCCCTCAACTTCTTCTTATCCAACTAATCAACCTCAACATTTGGACTTTCCTCATTTGACTTCCTCAACGTTAAATTAATTTTGCTCTTCTTTAGCCATTTATTCCACTTCACCTCAGGGGTACCTCATATAAGTACTCTTGCAATGAAGATTTATTTTGGTACAGAGAAAGGGGCAAAGTTATTATGTTTATGGAACAAAAATGATATAATTGAAAGTGAGACTGGGCATGGAACTGGACAGTGATGTTTGTTGTTGTTCTACGGAGGGTTGCTATGAGTCTGAACAGAGTCAAGGGCACACAACAACAACGTCACTGAAAGAAAAATAAAATGCACTAATGCCATGCATAGATAATATCATGGCATTCACTTGAACAATTACTTCCAAGTATCCTTCATTTTATAAAAAACAATGGGTAATGTCCCATAGTTTTTAACTTTTTGCATGATAACTCACCAACCATTTGTAATAAGATGGATGGGAATTGGGGATCTTTAAAAATATGTAATTATATATAAAACTCTATTTCATGACACTTGACACAAAAGGACACGTTAACATACTGTTCGTTTGTTTATTCATTCATTGTTCAGTGTCAAAGTTGGAGTTGGAGTTAACAAATTATTTCATTTGGAACAAACCTAAAAATTCTGAACCTATTACATCACGATCATTTCTATGAAAATAGTTTCTTGAACTCAAGTCCAAGAGGTGTTTAGAGAGGCATCCAAAAGCTGTTTAGAGAGTCAATGAGAACCGGACCAGGAAGGATGAAGTCTAGGTGAAGCTGTATCCTCCTGGGCAGCTCAGAAAGGGAAAACATGACAAAATGGGAGGATTCGCTTTCTAATAATTCAGTATCATTTCCATTGGGCCCATTCTAAATAGCACTATTCAAATTCCAATCGTGGCTTTTGGAATGGTGAGGTGTCTGGGCCCACCGAGGGTGGAGGGACAGGTTCACTTCCTTTCCTACGGGGTCAAGGTGTACGGTGGAGGCGAGGCATTTAGTCTCCAGAGAGAAGGAAGATGCTGCTTGCACAGCACTTCTACTCACCAGTCCATGCGGCAGCAAGGGTGTTGGCTTTGAAGGAAGCCAACTGTCCTGCTCTCCCAGCCAGAGGTAAAGAATTGCATTGGTGGCCACTAGAGGGAGGAGGATTAGGAATAGAGTAAATTGTGGGGAAAAGGCACCCATGAAAAACGCACATGGGACAACCAACACATCACTAACGACCGCCTAGCAGCTACCTCTCCGGTCTATCATAGGGTCGGAGTACACAATTAACCCAGACACCTGTCAGTATGGTAGTGCCCCAGGATGTTACAGAGCCCCTTAACTTTGATGGCTGGAGAAGGGAGTTTGGGTAGGGTCATGGGAAACACACAAGCACATGAACACACAAGCACACAAAGATACATTCTCACCCCCCACTACAAGTCGTTTCCTCTGTGCCGTCTGATTCTCACTCATTTTCTTATTTAAAACTCTTGATGTTCTTTACCAAGAATGTGTTCCCGAAAAGCAAACAGCCCACCTTCAAGACAGTCTTGGAAGAAGCACCAGCAGAGACACTCTTTGTGCCAAGGTGTATTTTACCAACAAATCTGTACAAATTACACAAGGTTGAAAACAAATGGAATATAATATAATTAAAGCAAAGATTCTTTTGCTAAATTACAGCTTGAAGCAAACCTGCAAGAAATGGTTTTAATTAGCTTCTTTGGCAAAGGCAAAGCATAGCTCCGAATATGTTTGCCTCTCCATCCTGCCCTTTGGGTTGGGCTGCCCAGTGGGTGTCTTACCTCCGGCACAAGTAGCGGAGCATTCTGACCAAGGCTGATGAGTCCAAGTAAAGCCAACTTCATTATCTCCACTGCCAGTTCGAGCGATGGGAACGTTGAACTTATACCTAATGCCCAAATTCTGTTCCTGAAGCAGAACCTGCCATTGAAAACAACTGGTGAGGACAATTAAGATGCCATGAGCCTTCAGTCAGACAGTTTTTATTTCTTTTGAAGAAGAAATGTAATAAAGCAAGTCTTATGGGAGATTCAAGACAACTTTTAAAGTACATGTGCTTCAACTATTGGCCTCTCCCCATCTGGAACAAAGAAGACACGAGTGGAGAAAAATCAAAGATGCATAGAAACAATTAGTCCAAAGGACGAATCAACCATGCAGACCTCAGCCTCCACTACCTGTGGTCACAACTGGAATGTTCTATGGCTGCTACCATGACTGACTGCTCCGAAAAGGATCGCAATAGAGAGTCCAGGTGACAGTGTGGGGAAAATTAGGAACAAAACTCAGAATAGTAATAAAGACCAGATTGACTGGTTTGATGGAGACAGGTGGAATCCCTGACACTATAGCCATTAGTTATTCTTCAGACTTAAAATGGAGACGATCCCCGTAGTCAACTGACAGCCAAACAATAAGCAAGCATAGAGAGTGAACAACACCACCAGGGAGGATTGCACCCCCAGAATCATCGATTGCCGAGGTCGAAAGCATTTACCCAGGGATAAAACTCAAGAGGTAACAAAGGATAGAAAATAAGAACCAATGAAAATAGGAAATACAGGAATAAAGAGGAAAGAGTGCTATTATCCTGTGGGGACGGTAATTGGTGTCACGAAACAAAATGTGTGGCAATGGAAAAACCAATTTCCTCTGTAAACTTTCACTTAAATCACAAGAAACAGTTGTTGTTTTTAAATTATATACAAATATACATGAATTAGGTTGAATCTTCTTCTTAAATTTTCATCAGTAGATTGTGGGCACTATTTATCTGATTTCCTTTATTTAGATATAAAAATACTACTCAAGTGGGCCTTGAAAGATCAGAGAATTATATAAGGAGAGCATTAGATGACTCTAATGTCACACAGATTTTATACTCTTGGGAAAACCATTTACCTTTATTTACTTTAATTTGACCACTTGTAAAGAGAATCTATAAAACTTGTCCCTCCATAGCTCACAGCGTGATTGTAAACAGTGGAAATGGAATGGCGAAGGTACATTTACCATAACAATGAGGTTTTCCGAGGTGGCCCCTAGCGCTTCCAAGGATTCTGGTTCATCAGTTGGTCTCTTGTAGTGAAAAGCTGTGCCAGCAACGTCAAACTTCCTCGGCCAGTCGATAGTCCAAGCACCATTGATATAGTAATCATCACCTTCAGATTTTAAAGCTAAAAAAATAAAATCACAAGCCACCTAAAAATGTGAAACTTTATTTACCAAAATGAGACTCATTATTAAACACAATGAACACTTAATTCATTTAGTATATCTAGAGAAGAAGGAATTTTCCATATGAATGTCAACATGATTATTCACTTAAGTATTTATCATGTCAATCATTAACAAAAACAGTGGAAAGTTTACAAAGGAATAATTGCATGGAATTACAAATAAAGTCATGAAGAAAGCTGGGGTGTTTAGTTGAGAGGGTAGAAGATGTGGGGAGCTGACGTCTCAGAACTCAAGGAGTAGGAGCTAGGAAGAACTCGTGGTACAGGCACAGCAACAATGGAACCCAGAAGTAGAAACAGACTCAAGTCCCAATATGAGTTTAGTACATGGCAAAGAAAACTCCTCAAATTAGGAAAGATCACAAGAAATGAGGCTGACCCCATGATCCAAGAATTATAAATAATAAAACACAAATCCAAAGGAAGAAATGGTGTCAGAGCTTAGATCGTGAATACCTGGTTTGCGGAAGGCTATGGATAACAGTGGCAGCCCAAAACCCGTTCACAGGAGCCACGCATCCCTGGGTTTAGCTGCTAGTGATTCCCCTTTGACTATGACTATAGTTGAGGGATGTGAACAGCCTTGTTATCAGACAGAGCGCTGTAAGGTTGATTATGGCAAATGTAGGTAGGTGACAATGTACTATCTTTTGAAAGTTACTTCAGTTTAAAAACAGAAGTGAAGGGGAAGTACAAGTACACAAGTACATTAACCCTCCAGTGAATCCCCTCTGACCATAGACCAGGGGTGTGAAAAGCACTTGCTATCCGGCAAAGTGCATTGCAAGTGGAATTATTGTAGATGCAGTTAGATTAAAATTTAACACATCATAGTTTGATCTCCCTTTGACCCATTTTAAATTTGTTGCGGTTTTAATATTTTTGGCTTTTTTATTTAAGGTTTTTCTGTTTCATTTTATTGTTGTTGATTTTTCTTTTTTTTGGTTTTTATATGTTTTTCTATATATTAAATTTAGGACAGGGAACCTATATAGACTGCAAATGGATTCATGGTTTCCTGGGAAAAGGGCAGGGGAATTGGGAGGAAATGAGGAGCTAATTATAGTGAGTACAAAAAAGAAGAAAATGCTCAAAAATAAATTGTGGTGATGATTGTGCAACTCCTTTGAATATGATTAAACTATTGAATTATATGATATATGACTTATATGCTAATAAAACTTTTGTTTTTCTTTTAAATAAATGAGAAGGAGACAAATGAAAGGCCTAGGGGTAGGAGGAAAGATGAATTTATATCTCATTCTATATCTATGAATAAATGCCTCCACTCCTAGATACATGCTCAAAAGGATGAATATATAACAGGCATTCAAATGAGTACCTGTACACAAATGCGCATGGCAGCACTATTCACACCAGACAGAAGATAGGCACAATGACAATACCCAGCAAAAAAATGAATGGATAATCTAAATATGAATTGATAAACCAAATGTTATATATCTATGCAAAGGAAAATTATTCAGTCATAAAAATTAATGAAATACATGCTACTACTAAAAAAAAACCCTCAAAGTTATTATGATAAGTGATGAATCCAGGCATAAAAGTTCATATATTGCATAATCATATTCATATGAAATATTTAAAATAGGCCATCTAGAGTGTTGGAAAGAAGATTGGTGACCATCATGAATGGGGGAGAGGAAGAAGTGTCATTTCAGAATGATAAAATTGTTTTGGGGGAAAAAAAATTACAATGAAGGTACTGAATGCCACTGATGGTTCACTTTATGTTTTTTATGTTATATAAACTTTACCTCAATAAAAATAAGAGAAATAAACAAAGAAAGTGTATTAAATACAAAAATAGTTAAATCATAAAATGTCAGAAGAAAATGTGGGAGAACTTAAAAACAATAGGGATATACAAAGTTTCTCTAAGCATGACCATAAAGCAAGACAATAGAAAGGAGATGATTAATAGATAAGTAACCTTGTTATAAAAGAGCTGAAAGAGCCCCCAATAAAATGATTTATTTAAAAAAATAGATACGTAACCGTGGTCTTTTAAATCTCTATAGGAAAAATATATATCAAACCGGTAAAAAGCATACTGACTGATAAAAAACATTAACTTTATTATTCAAAAGCTCCTATACATAAATACCATGTATACTCATGAATAAGCTGAGTTTTTAAGCACATATTTTATGCAGTTTTGTGGTAAAATTAGGTGCCTTGGCTGATATTCAGGTCAGCTTATACTCAAGTATATACAGTAAGATAATAATAAACATGCCTATTTAATATTTTTTGATAGTATGATAGCTAACTTTGAAAGCTGTAATTCTTGAAGCCAAATGAGCAAGACCCAGAAGGAAAAATGGTTGTGATCTGGCGTTTCGGCCTTTCTAGGCCCCTATCCCTTCTCCACCACTCTTCTGTCAGCTTATCGAAGTGTGGTGGCTTACATGTTGCTGTGATGCTGGAAGCTATGCCACCAGCACATCAACTACCAGCAAGGTGATTCATGGTGGACAGTTTTCAGGAGACCGCCTGCATAAAGACAGACTAGAAAGTAGAAAGAAGGGGTCAACTTCATAAAAGAATTTTTAAAAACCCACTGAAAGCCTCATGAATAGCTATGGAACATTACTTGATATAGTGAGAAAAGGTAAACCCTTGGCCAACATTCAACCATAGCATATCATCAAGAACCAATGGGATTGAAGGAAGAAGGCCAAGCTGTACTAAAGGCATTAAAGGAAAACAAAAGTCAAGAAATTGACAAAAGACAAATTGAACTGCTTCAACGACCATGTAGCAGTGAAAGAACTCATTGGTCCATGTTAAGTTACTCAAAATACAACTGACTCTTCAAAGTAGAGTTGACCTTAATGATAAGGATAGACCAAACTTTGGGGATCTTCATTTGCTGATGTAGCATGACTCAAGATGATAATAAATAGCTTCAGATATTTATTAATGATTAGAACGTAAATGAACATGTACAAATCTAGCAAAATTGAAGTCCTTAAGAATGAAACGGCACATATAACATCTGTATCCTAAGCATTAGTGAGTTGAAATGGACGGCTGTTGGCCATTTTTAACATAAAAGTCGTATGATTTAATATGCATGGAATGATGGATTGAAAAGAAATGGCATATCTCTCAGGACCAACGATGAGAGTAGCAATGCCAGGAGGGGAAGGAGAAGGTGGGGAACCAATCACAATGATCTACATATAACCCCCTCCCTGGGGACGGACAACAGATAAGTGGGTGAGGGGAGACATCGGTCAGTATAAGACATGAAAAATAATAACAATTTATAAATGATCAAGGGTTCATGAGGGAGAGTGGGGGGGGAGGGAGGGAGGAGAAATGGGGAGCTGATATCAGGGGCTCAAGTGGGAAGAGAATGCTTTGAAAATGATGATGGTGCCATATTTGCAAGTGTGCTTGACACACTGGATGAATGTATGGATTGTGATAAGAGATGTAAGAGCCCCCAATAAAACTATTTAAAGAA